TATCAAATGATATCCAAAATTAATCAAATTGCCATTGCCATAAATGAAGACTATAAATGATGATCTGCATGGTACTAGAAAGAATTAGAAAATATGATTCAGTTTAAATATAAAGGATTCCTTCCCAAAGGTAGGAAAGGATAATAAAGCTGAGGTTTAAGTGAGGCTTCACCATAAGAGAGTAACAAAGTATTCCAGGAAAAGAGAAGAAGGGAAGCATTCCAGAAAAAGACACCTTGAAGAACCCTTCGTAAAGCAAGTTGGAAACTAGTCCTTTTTTCTTTTCCTTTTTTTTTTTTTGAAAGATTTTGTGTAAGTTTAAATTTAAATTTTAGTTTAGCAAGACATGGGGGCATGCCCAAAAGGTCTTGATGCCATGGTATACCTCCAACTTCAACCAGCCCTAAATCCATGGGCACTGACCCTTGCTTCTCCTCATTCAAGTTTTGAAAGTCCTCTCTTTCACTGTTGCTTGGAAGAAATAAACAAATAAATTAGAAAAAAAAAAAAAAGTAATGATAAAGCTTTGTGTACCTTGACTTGAAAGGTACACGCTGTGATAGACATAGTCAATTACCCAAATCGAGATCTGGGGTTGTCCTCCACAGTGTAGCAATGTTGCTGGGAAGAGTCTACAAGCCAAACACTCCACTGCCCAGCCCCTGCAGTGTCTCGACAGGGCCTTACTACTACTTTTTGCGTTGGAAGCTGAGTAGAAGTGAAGTGTGCCTTTTCTAGGTCAAGTGAGTTAAGAGGCAGCCCATGCCTACCTGCTTGGAGGTGAGGATTGTGAAACCAAGACGTAGGCACCCAAGAATAGATCCAAGGCCTCTGATGGAGAAAAGCTAGCCATGGACCAGGAGCTGAACTAGATAAGAAGAAAGAAACTTCTAGGTTAAGTCACTGAACTGCCAGAGTTTATTACACTAGTGTTTCTCTGTGTCAGTATGGCATTTAAGAGATTTCATTGTTTTTGTTTTTGTTTTGTTTTGTTTTGTTTGGAGACGTTTTTGCTATAAGGCAAAGAAAGAGAGAAACAGAGAGATAGAGAAATCAACCCCTGGGGGGATGGTCACGCCGCAATCCCTTCTCCTCCATTCTCCTCTCAGGATCTTGGGTACACATGCACACCAGCCTGGTGTGAGTTTAAGCCACCAGATTTGGGACTTGAACCATGGTCAACTACATGGGAGTCCAGTGACATAGCCATTACACTAACTGCTAGTCCCAGAGATTTCATTTTTACAGCATAGTCCCACTCATGAGCATGTTATGGACTTTTTTGCTACAAAATTAGTTTTTGTTGTTTAAGGGAATAAGAGTTGTGTTGAATGACTAAAACACAGTTTAAACATGAGTTTAATTGATTCCCTGGCCTAATTTTACCTTATCTGAAATCTCTACGTATAGAAATTCCTAAATAGATTATACTTTTTTTTCAAAGCCTTCGTATCATCTCAATTGTTAAAAAATATGAAAAGAATGTAAGATACAATTAAAGAAAGAAAGTGGGAAACAAAGTAGGATTCCTGAATAATACATGATTAGAAAATCACCTAAATTTTTATAAGTTTATATTTTGTTTCTTATGAAATCAAGCTAAGCATGTACACACAATGATTGATTGATTGATTGATTCCAAAAGTGAGAGAGACACAGAATGAGCCAGAGATAAAGTACCCGCGACAGGGTCTTGACACTGCAACCCAGCCCCAGCCCTAGCTAGCTTTGGATTATGGGTACACGTGCTCCCATTTAACTTGGTAAGGTTTCTGGACTTGAACAGTCGCCCTTCCCATGTGAGATGGCCTTGCAGAGCATCTGATTTTGCCACTGCACCCCCATCTAGTTCTACAGTGAATTAGTTTTAAGGGATTCCTTTCTTTCATCAGCAGTAGGGAAGCAGATGGTTGAGTTCTAAAATGTGTGTCCTATAGTTCTTTGTGCTAACGCCTCAAAGCAAAATCCCTTTGGATGTTCTGGAAAGGATTAATATACATTTATGTCTGAGAAGAAAGGCAAATGGGATAGAAAAATTGTGAGGAAGCTCAGTATGTAGTCTTATGACCACAGAGAGAAACTAAAATGCAGAATCCTGTCTTTGATTTTCCTTGAGTGAGTAACTTCAATTCTCCTGTGTTCCATTAGGAATAATGATGTGAAATCTTAGGCTAGCTTTTGGAGTAGAAGCTGTACATGTTAGAGTCTAGCAAAAAAAAAAAAAGTGTCATTACATTACTTGGAGGAATCACAAATTACTTCCCTCTACTGCCATCCAACAAAAGAAAGGCTATTAACTATTCTAGAAGCAGCATAAATGTAATTGTCACCATAGTAACCAAAAGAGCAAATATACCCAGTAGTCGAGAAAGTCCCGAGGAATGGTTTGCATTAAGAAAGCAATTTTCATCTTAGCACTGTTCAGCTTAGAGAAAAACACTTATTTGTAATGTGAAGTAGAAGAATAGAGACATCAGGACTGAAGTACTATCTGGGGGGGGACACCAGATGCCCTCGTAGCTGAGTTCTGAAAATAAATCAGATTATCTATCTCATGCTGATTTTTGAGAAATTCCATAAGGTATCTTCCTATCTAGTCATGATTAATTGGCACTATTTTCCTTTTTTTTTTCAATGCCAGAGGGTTTACACACACACTAGAGAGAGAGAGAAAGAGAGAAGAGGGAGAGGGAAAGCACCCCTTTCCCATGAGGCCTGATTATGCTACAATTCTTTTTCCTCCATTACTTCATCCCATCGGGATCCTGGGCACACATGCCTAGTGTACTACTGCCAGAGCTGGGATTCAAACCATAGCCAACCATATGAGACAGTGCTATAGGGGCCAGGCTAGTTAACTGGCTCCTTCATGGTATTCTCACTGTCTCCATCTGCAAGTGAAAGAAAGTAATGATTGCATATGGGATGTCTCTCTCTGCCGTTTAATGTCTGTCTTTCTAACCAGAGGATAAGGCTCATGAGGGCAGCAACTATTGCTGTCTCACTCACCATATTATCTCCAGGACTGTCACACTTCATAAAGAAATGCTAAAAATGGTCGGTATTTATGCAGGTGAGAAAATGTTCAAAAAAAAATCTTGAAATCATTTTAAATGCACTTTCCTCACACCATAATGAGGTCATGTCATCCTGAACATACAGAAAGAACACATGCTTTTCTGCAAATCAGTGGAAGGAATGAGCAAATAAAGGAATGGGAGTTACCGCTAAGTTTAAAACTCAGGAATGACTTCAGAATCTGTGATTTTTCTATTTTCTGTGAAGTTTTTCATGAATTTCCCAGTTCATGGAAAGATGAGGAAGAGAAGGCAATACGTGAAGCAGAAAAGGTAGTTTAGGAGAATAAACATTATTGAACACTAGTTTTAGATATTATAATAATTCTTATTATCTCATTTATGCAAATGGTAACCCTTGTAAGTAGAAAACTTTCTATTTCCTACATTCATTTTCAGCCAACAAATGTTTATCCGTTGTGTATCATATGCATGTATGATGTTTCATATACAGGATCCCAGATGAGCAAAATCACACATTACCCCTACTGACATGGAATCAAGGCTTCACTGGATGACATATACTTATCAAATGATATCCAAAATTAATCAAATTGCCATTGCCATAAATGAAGACTATAAATGATGATCTGCATGGTACTAGAAAGAATTAGAAAATATGATTCAGTTTAAATATAAAGGATTCCTTCCCAAAGGTAGGAAAGGATAATAAAGCTGAGGTTTAAGTGAGGCTTCACCATAAGAGAGTAACAAAGTATTCCAGGAAAAGAGAAGAAGGGAAGCATTCCAGAAAAAGACACCTTGAAGAACCCTTCGTAAAGCAAGTTGGAAACTAGTCCTTTTTTCTTTTCCTTTTTTTTTTTTTTTTGAAAGATTTTGTGTAAGTTTAAATTTAAATTTTAGTTTAGCAAGACATGGGGGCATGCCCAAAAGGTCTTGATGCCATGGTATACCTCCAACTTCAACCAGCCCTAAATCCATGGGCACTGACCCTTGCTTCTCCTCATTCAAGTTTTGAAAGCAAGTCACTTAACCTCCCTGAGTTGAGTGTTCCTCACTGAAAAATTGATACAAAAAATAACAACTAATTCTTGGAGTTGTTAATATTAAATGAAATAATCTAAATTAAGTATGAGGTATAGAGACTAGCCCATACTAAGCTCTCAATAAATGTTGTTATTTTTATAGAAACTCTTCTAATGATGAAACTGTGGATTTATGTTGGATGACTTAAACTCAAAGTCATTATAGTAACTAAGAACCTGCTTCATGAGGAATTGAGGGATTTTTAGATCAAAATCTTTACCATAGTCAAAGAGCATGTTATAGTGCTACTTCTTGTCCTATCACATGAATACAATTTTTGTACTCTACTGTAACAGACTGACTTCATTGTCTGCCTCCTCTGCCTGCCTGGGCTATGTGAACTATGCCCAGCCGCCCTTACCTATGAATACTTCCTTCTAGTGCTCCCCGGCATTTCTCTCCCACGGCATATTTGAGACTGCTCTCACAATACTTGTGAACATTTTCCTCTCTTTAATCCCTTTTAAGGAGAATTCTTAATTGTGCAGACTCAGGATTGAGAATGACCAAGATGCCTAACACACTCACACACACACACACACACTCATTCACAATCATATAATTCCAGAGCTTTTTTTCAAAGCTTTAAGAATCTAAGCTCTTTTATAACTGTAATCAACCAAAATTTTTTTTCAAGGTTTCTAATGGTACTCTAATTCGTTTTTATAAAATTTCTTGGAGACAAAAAGAAACATTATGCAGGGTTTCCTTTTATCCCAATGGATGGGCAGCTGATGATTAAAGAGCCATTCATTGCCCAATCCTGACACTGCCTTTCCCCATTGGGTCTCTGTGCGAGTCACATGCTTTGGACATCTTTGAAAAGTATCGCCTGAGCCTCAGCATCTCATCTGATTCTTCCACATCTCCCCTAGAACAGAACCGTGCTGAATCCTCATCTACCACAATGAGCAACAAATTCGTAGGCACCTGGAAACTTGCCTCCAGTGAGCGCTTTGATGATTACATGAAAGCTCTGGGTAAGAAATGCTCTTTGTTGTTCTGGCTGAGAAGATTCTTTTTGACAAAGCTACATGACCTAGCCTTCTAACATGTTTCTCAGAAGGTTAAAGGAGTTTGCATAGTCTCCAGTATAAACACTTTCTGGGATGAATCCTCTGTTGTGTCATTTAGATAATTCATTTGACTTATGTTTGTGGCAATTTCAATAGATTTTAACTTAAATAAGAGCTGCTTAAATGCATAGAACTCCCATTGATGTCAAAGTCAGTTTCATTCATACCAGTATGGTTTTGATTTCAGATCCCAGAAAAAAGAAAATTTAGATGCTTAGTGAACCTATAGTTCACTATAGGTAAAAACTAGTTTTATAGCAACTAAAGTGCTCATAAAATAAGAAGTTGAATACATGGCAAATACCAGAAAATCTCAATTTAAAATTCTGATGTTAAGCTAAACTAAAACTTTTCTCTCTCTTTCTCTAGGTTTTTTTTTTTAATTACATAATCATGTAGATACAGAAAATATGAAAAACAAAACTTCCAAAATAAGGGGTTGATAACCTAGGGAAGTCACTGAGAGAAAAAGAACTGGGTGTGAATAGAGCAAATTCAAACTCTATAGCACTAATATTCAGTTTTCCCGGAGTTAGAGAAGTGAATGGAGATAGAAAATTCAGTCATTAGTTACAACTTTATTTTGTATCATTTCTAGAGACTGTTCCAAAGATATGAACACAATAGATATGACGAGTTTTTTGGAAATTTCCAGAGCTGTGTGAATTTAATAGTGATGCCAATGCCCTAAAGGTTGCCATGGGTTGCCAATGTCCTAAGGGTTACATGTGTCTGAACTTAAGCATTCCAAGGCTTTTAAATAAGTTTCTATTTTTAGATACAGTGAGCAAAATTATATTATTGTTACCTGGAAAGTTTTGAAAACATATGACATAGATCCATACTATGATTAGATTTAATGGCTTCACTTTACAGCTGAAGAAGCAGCAAAATCTAAGGAAGTCTAAATGAGAGACTGTAATTCTATGATTTTCAAATTTTAGAGTATATAAGGACATTTTGGGGTCTGGTCAATGTAGATTCTCAGGCTCTACCTCAGAGATTATGATTTAGTTTGAAAAACATTGTTCTAAATCATATAAAGTGACAAAGATATCAGAATTAGAAGAAAGAATACAGTTCACAGTTTATTAGCTATAACTCTTCAGTTCTTATTTATTATATACATATATACATATGCATGTGTGTGTGTGTGTGTGTGTGTGTGTGTGTGTGTATTACTATAAGATGTGTGCACTCGCTGAAGAGACAGAAAGTGAGAAATCACCCCTGTCCCCATGGGAAATGGCCATGTCATAATCCCTTCTCCTCTATTCTCCTCTCAGAATTTGGGACACGCACAAACACATGCCCAGCATGAGTTTCAAGCTGCTAGGTCTGGTACTCAAACCATGATTGACCACATAGGAGGAGTCCAGTGCCTTAACGATTGTACAACCTGCTGGCCCTTGTTTTTCTTTTCTTTTCTTTCTTTATTTTTTAATAGTAGAAGGTAAATTTAAGCATTGGAATTTCCAGCTGGAAACTAGTTTTAGTTTTTCTTTCATGTATTTCTTATTTGACATTTCTTCTTTTGATGTATTTCTATAGTCTTGATAATAATAGTAATAACATGTAAAAATCTAATTTTGTTTTGTTTTTCAAACAAAGAATTCCAAAAAAATCATTTTACTTATTTATGATTATTTATAATGATATAGATTTTGAAGGTAGTTGAAGGTTTATTTTCCTACCAGCTAGACTTAGGAGTTCCAAAATTTTGGAAATGAAATTCTACCAGTATATGAAGGGAATAGCTCTCTCTAGCCATAATGTATTACTGAAGGAAAACTTTCATGGAAAAGGTTATATATGTCATAATCTTATTAAAATATATCCTTAATATTTGCACGTATGAATTCAAATATCTGAAAAGATTAATACAAATCTATAATTAGTGATTTACAATGAGGAGTAGGAGTGGATGTGGCACAGCTGGGTGATTTGTACTGTTTTGGCTGAACACTTACTCTTCCAAATCTGCAGACATTACTTTTGTAATAACAAAACCTGAACTATATTTCCACTGGATGATAAAATGGAAGGCAGTCCTTAGCGGAAATGACCCTACCTGTCACCGACACACCTAGGGTACACTGAGCATAGAGTGTGACCACCACAGTCTCTCCAGGCAGATGCGATCCTAATGCTATCTTTATTTTCAGGTGTGGGGTTAGCCACCAGGAAACTGGGAAATTTGGCCAAACCTAATGTGATCATCAGCAAGAAAGGGGATATCATAACTATACGAACTGAAAGTACCTTTAAAAATACAGAGATCTCCTTCAAGCTAGGCCAGGAATTTGAAGAAACCACAGCTGACAACAGGAAAGCCAAGGTAATTTAAATGTTTCTCTTCAAAGTTGGCCTGGTTGACTGCATGAGATCATTATTCCCGCTAATGTTTAAAAGGATAAATTCCATGGGTCCAGGGGATGGTGTGATAGTTAAAGCACTGGACTCCGGTTCAAACCACAGTCTCGGAGACTTAAAAATTACACCAGGAGCATGTGCATGTGTGCCCCAAATCCCGAGGGGAGAATGGAAAAGGGATTGCGGCATGATCATTCCCCTGGTGGATAATTTCTCACTTTCCCTTTTACTGTCTCTGTGTCTCTCTGGAAAATGCACATGTACTATAGCAAAAACCTAAGGAAAAAAAAGAAAGACTCCGTTCTATTCTGTTGAGAATCAATGTGCCTCATGAAATCTTTCACTAAAAAGATTCAATACTGATAAACTGCTTCTTTAATCAACCAGCATTTAAGCAAGTCAATAACACGAACTTGTCTTTGCAGAGCATTGTAACTCTGGAGAGAGGCACACTGAAGCAAGTACAGAAATGGGATGGCAAAGAGACAACCATAAAAAGAAAGTTGGTGGATGGGAAAATGGTAGTGGTAAGAGTATTTTAACTTCTAAATACAAAAAAATGTTATATAAACCAATAGATTATATATATTATTTTCAAAATATTCTTTATTCTTTGAAATACAAGAAGATAGGGGCTGGCAGGTGATGTGGTGGTTAAGGTATTGGACTCCCCTATGGCCAAACATGGTTTGAGTCTCGGATCTGGTTGCTCGCTCGCTCGCTCGCTCTCTCTCTCTCTTGTCAAATTCACCATAATAGTAATAGCAAATAAAATTAAATAAATATATTTTTAAAAGAAATACAAGTAGATAAAAGTGGCTAAGGATGATGTCAGAGTTAATGCTTGAGTGATACTTAAACCATAAGAGATTTGGCTTCAAGTATTTCAAGTATTGTCCCATGATTTTAGAAATAAAAAACTGATTTGTTATTTTAGAAATGACAATATCTGTAAAGTTAAGGAAAGTTTGAATAAATCCAACTGGTATGGACTCAGAAAGGAAAAAAAAGTGAATCTAAATTATAAAAGTGAAATACACTCTGAAAGTCTCAACTGCAGAATATTTAGAAATCTTTAAGAATTTCTTTTTCAATAATCCACAGTAACTTGGACTTAATCATGTCAACAATATAAGTTGAGCTTATTGGAGGCCTGTTTTAGTTAGTAGATAAAAATGATAATGAACTTTTATAAGATGACTTCTAAAAATTTAATTAATGTTAAGGCTATGTGCTTATTCATTAACACATACATTGAATGGCTTCATATAATATTTTGAATGTTTCTTTAATGCAGTGGTTCTTATCTTTTGCTGCACAATACATTCATATGGGGAGTAAATACCAATGGGGAGGCTGTCTTAGTCCATTATTGTGTGGCTAACAGAAATAAATATCTGAGGCTGAGTAAATTATAAAAAAAAAAAATAGAACTTCAGGACCAACAGATTTCGTAATAGTTACATAGTTAGCCTCCCATGTAGTTGACTGTGGTTCAAGTTTCCGATCTGGCAGCTTAAAACTCATTCCAGGCAGATGTACACATGTGCTCAATATCCCAAGAAGAGAATGGTGAAGGGATTGTGGCATGGTCATCCCCACCCCCCCGCCCCGGGGGAATATGTCTTACTTTCTGTCTCTCTTGGGTGAGCACACATCCCTATAGAAAAAATCTCTCTCTCTTAAATTATATGTTTAATAATTCATAATTCTGGTGGTTAGAAAGTCCAAAAGCATCACAAATGGTGAAGGCAGAACTTTCAGTAGGGCAGAGCATGTTCTATATCCATGGGAATTTCTCTCTGCCTGTGATCATATTTTCTTTGCTACTATACCTGCCATAACTCAGTCATAGAGGTCTAACCCTAATGACATTATCACCACCTAGGCCTCACCCTAGCACTACACCATAAAGGAACTAAGTTTTCACTTCATAGTTTTATGATACAACCAATACAATCAGCACTACACCATAAAGGAACTAAGTTTTCACCAATACAATTAAGTTACAACACATGAATTTCCTGGGAATATCCAGGCACCACCCACTAAGACCAAATTCCAAAACATGAAACTTTTTCAAAATATTCTTTATTCTTTGAAATACAAGAAGATAGGGGCTGGCAGGTGATGTGGTGGTTAAGGTATTGGACTCCCCTATGGCCAAACATGGTTTGAGTCTCGGATCTGGTTGCTCGCTCGCTCGCTCGCTCTCTCTCTCTCTTGTCAAATTCACCATAATAGTAATAGCAAATAAAATTAAATAAATATATTTTTAAAAGAAATACAAGTAGATAAAAGTGGCTAAGGATGATGTCAGAGTTAATGCTTGAGTGATACTTAAACCATAAGAGATTTGGCTTCAAGTATTTCAAGTATTGTCCCATGATTTTAGAAATAAAAAACTGATTTGTTATTTTAGAAATGACAATATCTGTAAAGTTAAGGAAAGTTTGAATAAATCCAACTGGTATGGACTCAGAAAGGAAAAAAAAGTGAATCTAAATTATAAAAGTGAAATACACTCTGAAAGTCTCAACTGCAGAATATTTAGAAATCTTTAAGAATTTCTTTTTCAATAATCCACAGTAACTTGGACTTAATCATGTCAACAATATAAGTTGAGCTTATTGGAGGCCTGTTTTAGTTAGTAGATAAAAATGATAATGAACTTTTATAAGATGACTTCTAAAAATTTAATTAATGTTAAGGCTATGTGCTTATTCATTAACACATACATTGAATGGCTTCATATAATATTTTGAATGTTTCTTTAATGCAGTGGTTCTTATCTTTTGCTGCACAATACATTCATATGGGGAGTAAATACCAATGGGGAGGCTGTCTTAGTCCATTATTGTGTGGCTAACAGAAATAAATATCTGAGGCTGAGTAAATTATAAAAAAAAAAAATAGAACTTCAGGACCAACAGATTTCGTAATAGTTACATAGTTAGCCTCCCATGTAGTTGACTGTGGTTCAAGTTTCCGATCTGGCAGCTTAAAACTCATTCCAGGCAGATGTACACATGTGCTCAATATCCCAAGAAGAGAATGGTGAAGGGATTGTGGCATGGTCATCCCCACCCCCCCGCCCCGGGGGAATATGTCTTACTTTCTGTCTCTCTTGGGTGAGCACACATCCCTATAGAAAAAATCTCTCTCTCTTAAATTATATGTTTAATAATTCATAATTCTGGTGGTTAGAAAGTCCAAAAGCATCACAAATGGTGAAGGCAGAACTTTCAGTAGGGCAGAGCATGTTCTATATCCATGGGAATTTCTCTCTGCCTGTGATCATATTTTCTTTGCTACTATACCTGCCATAACTCAGTCATAGAGGTCTAACCCTAATGACATTATCACCACCTAGGCCTCACCCTAGCACTACACCATAAAGGAACTAAGTTTTCACTTCATAGTTTTATGATACAACCAATACAATCAAGTTACAACACATGAATTTCCTGGGAATATCCAGGCACCACCCACTAAGACCAAATTCCAAAACATGAAACTTTGGGAGACAAACCATTATCCAAACCATAACAGGGACCCAAAACATATCAATTGAGTGCAACTCTCTTGGGGGAAGAAGAGCTATCACAATATATTTAAACATTCTCCTTACAAATGCATGAATAGTGTTGAAAACTACTATTTTCGTGGATCTAAATGCATGCAAAATGTGCATTAAAAAACTCAAAAATTTCTTTAAAGTAGCATAGAGAAACTTTAAAACTGTTTATCTTGTTTTCATATTCATAATTGATGGACATAATTGAATTTCTTTCTAAATTTAATCTTATGAGCTTACTTTGAATGTCTATTTATAATACAAATTTGTTGTTCTCTAGTTTGAGTTTTATATACTCAGTTATCTCTCTCTTTTTATAGGAATGTTTGATGAAAGGTGTGGTCTGCACCAGAATCTATGAAAAAGTCTGAGAAAATTGTTTCCTCACTGAAGTAGTACTTGATTAATAATTGTTGGAAATCAACTGCTACCAATGTCAAGACCTGACTCCACCTCAGTTTTATTGTTTGTTTGTTTTTACTTTTGTCTCCATATGTCAGATAGGAAAAGGCCTAAACTGAATATTAATTCAATGCTATTTAAATATTTTAAATTCGTATGTATATCCTTGCTATATAATAAAGCATATATATTGGCTAGAACTCTACAGTTGATAACATAATTTAATTAACTCCAAAATTCTAACCTATGTGTACTTTGTATATCTGAAAAAAAATAATAAAAAGCAGGCTAGTAAAAGAAAATAAACCTTTTTTATTTATTTGTTTTATCTGAGAAAGAGAGAGAGAGAGACCACTAACAAAGTTCTCAAACCAAGATTCACCCCCAGTCTTATTCAGCCCAAACCACGGACACATATCATAGGCATCCATGTACTCGGGAGGGTCTGGAGACACAAACCCAAGACGTCCCCCACATGAGTCCACTTGCCTTACCACTGTACCACACCTGACTGAAAGAAGGGCCAGGAGAGTTATAAGGGAGAAGTATAAACAATTAAGCAATACAGGAGAAGAAGCTATTTTAAATTGGGGATTTGTAGTCTCAGCTAAAAGAGGCAGCATATACACTAGTCACCTTTTTAAACCAAGAAGTAGTATGAAACAATGAAATACACAGATATTAAAGGTAGAAGTCAGTCCATTATGACAAACACATGCATACATATAACTTACACCCAGATCAAGATACAAAACATTTCCTTGACCCAGAAAGTTCTTTCATCCTCATTTCCTTCTCATACCCTGTCATATCCCCACCAAAAACAAGTTGTGATTTGGTTTCTATTGCCATAGATTAGTTTTGTCTATTCATAAAAATAGAATCACACATTATGAATTTTTTCAGTTGTCTTCATTACATTCAGAATAAGGTTTTTGAGATTCATCTATTTTGTTTGTTTTAGTTTGTTATTGTGTTGCTACACAGAAATCCCCAAGTCTGGGTGGTTTACAAGAATAAAGGTTTACTTGGCTCACAATTCTGGTGACTAGAAATTTCAAAAGGCATGGGGATTGGTTGCTGGCTAGCCTCTGATAACTATGTCACAGAATGTCCAAGAGAAGCATGCAGGCCAGAGGTACATGCAAAAAGAGTGAGACAGAGGACACAGAGGTTTTTTCTGCTTGCCTGTCCCATGCTCTCATGGATGGTGCCCACAAACATGGAAGGCAGGCCTTTCTTTATCAGTCCACTCTTTCTCACAGACAGCATTAATCCACTAATGAGGGCAGTGTCCCCTTGATGCAAACATTGCCCTCTAGGCCTCATTTCTTAAAGCTCTCACCATCTCCCAAAGGCATTATAATAGGAACCAAATTCCAACACATAAAACCTAGGGGAATGAATCATAATTCAAATCATAGTCTTGTTACATGTAGTAATAGTTTATTCCTTTTGGTTGATGAGTATTATTCCATGGTGTGAATATGTATCACAGTTTATTTATCTTTCTTCCTGTTAAGATACTTGGGCGCTTTCCAATTTGTGGCTGCTATTTTTTAAATAAGATACTTGGGCGCTTTCCAATTTGTGGCTATTATGTATTAAGCTGCTACAAAAATTCTTAGATAAGACTTTTAGTGGACAAACGAGAGTCAAAATGATAAGGTCCAGTTATTTTTGACAAGGAGTAATGGGAAACCATTTTACTCAAGTAATAATAAAACTATTTCAGATGTATTACATGATTGTGCAGGTGACAAAAAGTATTGATATCAATAGAAAACAGTATGCTCACTGAGGAATAAAGAGCATATGGGGGACCAGCAGTTAGCGTAATGGCTATGTCACTGGACTCCTGTGTAGTCGACCGCGGTTCAAGTCCCAGACCCGGTGACTTAAACTCATACCGGGCACGTGTGCATGTGTGCCCAAGATCCCGAGACGAGAATGGAGGAGAAGGGACTGTGGCGTGGCCATCCCCCCGGGGGGTGATTTCTCGCTTTCTGTCTCTCTCTGTCTTTCTGGTGAGCGCACGCACCCTATAGCAAAAAAACGCTCAAAAAATAAATAAATAAATAAAGCATATGAATATGGAATGATGGAAGACAAGAAAGAACCATGTGGAATCGATGTAAATTGATGTAAATTCAGGGTTTCTAAGTCACATATATGTATGTAATTGTGTAATTGCACATACATATCTGCATACGTAAATGCATGTCATGTGAATATACATTTGTGGTTTGCAAATGTTTATATATTATATATATACTTACATTTGCTTATAGAATATTATATATGCTTCTAAATGTATACTTTTTACATTATACTTTTTAAATTTTTATATATACATATATATTTTTTCTAGCTCTACCTGCAAAAGAGCTTAGAATTCTCTACTGAAAGAAACCAGAGTCTCTTGGAGAAATGGCTAATTCCAAATCCAGGACAGAGTAGGGACAAGATGAACCTGAATAATCATGTAACACTAGGAAACAAAGAAATGTTCAAAAAAAAAACATAGGCATGTCATCAAAACATGAATGGACTATAATTGACCACATTGGGGCTGTATGAGTGCAAACTAATTGAGAAAAACTAAAAATTATAAACCACTCGGAAAAAATAGGAATCCATGAATCAATGATAGATGATAGATAGGTAGGTAGATAGCTATAGATATAGATGACAGAGCAATACAGATAGATGATAGACAGATAGATATAGATAGACGTCTTCCTTACAGCTGAGTATCACATGCCAACCAGTGAATATGAAAGGTTTTCTTTAATTATAAAACCGTATTTCTGCCATCCCAGCAAACACTGACTCAGGTAAGAATTATTAATGTGTGCTAAAACTGGGGGTGGGGTGGGATTTGATTAGGAGCAAGGTATTACTCTTCACTGATTGCTTATTAGTTCCAAGGGCAAAAATAGTAACTAAGTAGTGGAAAAGTAACCTCATTAATAAAGGGCGAATGAACATGTGGCCTCCACTGTGATATCCTGAGAAGAAAGCAACATCATTTACATGTCATTCTGGCTTGGAAGCCATATTTGAATCTAATCATAAGGAAACATCAAACAAATTCCAAATGAGGAATGTTCTATTAAAAAGAGGGAGGGGAGGTGTTGACCAAACTCTTCAAAAATGTCAATGTCATGGAAGACAAAGAAAGGTTGTGGAAATGTTCCAGATTAAATTATACCAAAAATTAATGACTAAATACAGTAAGTAGTCTTAGACTGGAGCATGTACTAAAGATAAAATAAATGCACCAAAGGACAATACTAGGCCAACTGGCCAAAAGGAATATAGATGGCAGGCTAGATAAAAGAGTGTCCTGTGATTAAGTAAAAGAATAACTTTATTCTTAGAACACACAAACCAAAGTATTTTGAGGTAATGAGCCATAATGTGTAAAATTTACTCTGCAAAAACTCAGAAAAACAAGTGTGTACATGTGTGTACATAGAGATACATTCAGAAAAAGAGCAAGTGATAAAACAAGTGGAGTACATTTTGACACCAGAGGAAGAATAAAAGGTTTATGTAGTAGATTGTTAGAAAAGTCATGATATATTTTTCTGTTTTTCTGCACAAAAAGTGCATCATGACTTTTTCAACAACCCAATTTTTCATTTGAATTTGTCTGATTCTTGGAACTTTTAATCACGTGCAAAAGTATTTTCAAACAAGTGAAAGAAAGAAGAAAAAGACAGAAAGAAAAACAGAAAGAGAGAGAGAAAAAGAAAAGAAAGAAAGAGAAAGATAGAGAAAAAGAAAAAAGAAAGAGAAAGAAAGGAAAAAGAAAGAGAAAAAGAGGCTGCCTTTCATAAGCCTTTCTCTGCCTCTCAGTCCTCCATCGACAAGTGTCTGGAAGGGACATCATTAATCTAGGTGTGGTTTTTGTTTTGTTTTGTTTTCATCTCCTGCCAGATAAAGCCATAAAAAAACAGTCTTAAAACTGTTGTTCTATTGTTAGACATTTGTGGTAATATAAATCCTTAATAAATATAACTGGTCTAATATACAAAAATCATGGGTACTTTTTACTTTCATAACAGGAAAAGTGGAACTACGCTGATAACAAGGAAGACCAAGTAATCATTTCAGCAGGTGACATATATTGCTAGATTTGAAACAGTTGAAACAACCAGATTGGAGCACGGGTGAGAGGTACCAAATGTCTTATTCCATTCTCAAAGCTGGAATAAAAAATACCATAAAATCAGTGGCTTATAATAGAATTTTTTGGGGGGAGAGTTTTTCTTTTTCTTTTTCTTTTTTTTTTCCGCTATAGAGCACGTGCACTTGCCAAAAAGACAGAGAGAGACAGAGAGACAGAAAGTGAGAAAGCACCCCCCCCAGGGAGGATGGCCACTCCACAATCCCTTCTCCTCCATTCTCCTCTCAGGATCTTGGGCACGCATGCACATGCACCGCAGAATGATTTCAAGCCACTGGGTCCAGGACTCAAACTGCAGTTGGCTACATGGGAGTCCAGCGACATAGCCATTACACCAACAGCTGGTCCTGAAATTTATTTTTCATAATTCCAGAGGCTGGGAAGTCTAAGGTTGAGTGCTGCCGGATTTGGTGTCGGATAAGACCTGTTTCCTGCTTCATAGATGGTGGTCATACCCTCACATGGTAGAAAAAGCTAAAGAGCTCCCTTGGGCCTTTTTATAAGGGTACTAATTCTGTTCATGAAGGATCCTAATTATCCACAAGGGTTCATCCCTCATCTATCTCTCTCTCTTTCTCTTTTTAATTTGCTATAAGGCTTATTTCTTAAGCTTCCAGGTCTGGACTCAAACTGCCCAACCAGCCATGTGGGATCCAGCCACCTTAACCACCATGCCACCAGCTGGTCCCTCAATCATTTCTTAATGTCATCATCTTGGAGGTTAGAATTTTAGGGGGACACAAATACCTAGACTATTGCAGTTGAGTGCTATAATATTCAAAAATACTCTCAAAATATGTTTCTCTAATTCTCTGTATATAATGTCTAAGTGGTGTCTAAGAACACAATCCGACTAACTGGTTTGATTCCATTTGCTACTTATTCCCTATCCATAACTGGGCAAGATACTTAACCACTGTGCCTCTTAGTTCCTTTGTAAAAATGAAGAACATACCTGAAAAAGTTATAAGGCATAAATGAGCTAATACATGTAACATGCCTGAAACAGTGCATGGCACAGGAAGAGCATTGTAACAGTCATTTCGCTATTATTATTTATCTACTAATACATATAACATTCAAATAGCTCGTCTTATTATGCCTGCAAGTGAAGAGAGCATCACAAGGTATCAGAACTCTTGATGGTTTAAGTGATTTCCATACCAAATGGCTATATAAATTAAGAATGTTATGTATGCAAAAGTAAAAACAATCAAGAAACATATTAAGGTTAATCCACAGGTAATCTAACAAATATGACTATTACAGTGCTAATCAGAGTAACTTTGAAAAAATGGAAATTGATGATTACCTACTCTAGCTTAAATAAGACCAAAATAAATACATTTCAACCCCAAAGGACAAGTAAGTTACTTGATGTCAACCAGGTAGTGATTGTCATAGCTTATCTAGTATTCTTAGAAACAGTGGTGTGTTACAGCTGGCTAAAATTGGTTCTTAAGAGCTGAATGCTACATTTTCAGAAATTTGGCAAGGTAGTCGTTAGACCATTAGAAGCTGGAATTAGCTATTTCGGGAATATTTACATCAGGGAATTAGGCAAACACAATCAACCAGGGCTTTGTTTCTTAGGAAGATGATTTTAAACACTAGCACGTCACTGTCCTAGATAATACAGTACATAGATTTCATTAATGAGAGTTTTAGTTTCACGTTAGTCATAACATTCTAATTTTTTACTAAATTTACTTTCTAATTAAGGTCGCTTCTGCTTAGCTTTTAGAATAATTTCTTCTAATTCAGGTTGCACCTCTCTAAGCATGGCTATACATCAGGATTACCTAGAATCTCTAACATATCACACCAAGATTGTCCCCCTAGACCTATTGAATCATAATCTATAGTTGATGGGTAAGATCTGGGAACCACTATTGCTAAAAGGTAAGTTTGGTTCGGTTTCTGTGATACAGCAAAGAGCACGAGGAACTGCAGAGGTGGACACCACATGCCAACCATGGTTGGTGTGACTGAGCCTTGTGGAAGGTGTCTCTCTCCCTCACTCACTCATGGACACACATGTGCTATGTCATGAAAAATATATGTAAAATTTCCCTCGATCTATGTATAAAGGTAAACTTAGGTACATCAAAATTTTAAAGGGTTCATTTGAGCAAACAGCAATTTATGAATGAGTTTTGTGTTTTTTAGAGAACTTTTTGCTATAGGATACATGCGCTGGCCAGAGAGACAGAGACAGAAAGCAAGAAATCACTCCCCGGGGGTGGGAGAGGGGGGGAATGGCCATGCCACAATATCTTCTTCTCTGTTCTCCTCTCAGGATTTTGGATACACGTGCCCAGTGTGAGATTTTTTTAAACCTCCTGGTCTGAGACTCTAACCATGGTCAACTACATGAAAGTCCAACAATGTAACCATTCTACCATCTGCTGATCCCATGAATCAGATAGTTTTAAACCACAAATTGCTTGGGTTCTACCCAGAGGGCTCAAGGGGGAAGGTATTTTCAAACCAAGAAAAAAATATATAATATTTGATTGGTTAATGTGGAAAATTCTTAGTTAGAATGTAGTTATTGAGTTAGCACCTTCTCATTGGTAAATGAAGTTTCATTTTGTAGTTTATACTGAATTGTAATTTTATTTCCTTAGAAACCACCGGAGAAGCTCCCAATTATTTTATTTTATTTTAAACAGTATCTTGCCATGTTGTATTTCTCATGCCTCAGCCCCTCAGCAGGGACTAAAAGTGCATGCCTGGCTAGGACTACAGGTGCCCTCCATCTTGCCTGGCCCATTCTTTTCATTCTTTTTTACAGATAGGGTGTCAGTAGCCCAAGCCATCCTTGAGCTTGGTGTCCTCCTGCCCCAGCCTCCACAGGGATCACAGGGTATGCCGCTGCTCCTAGGCTCTCAAGTGGTTCCAGCCTACAGAGTGTAACGTCTTAGCTGCTAGACTAGCTCCAGTGCAGCTAGACTCTGGACACTAATATTTTAACATCCCACGTGACCCCAATATGTGACTGGCTTGAGAACCACTGTGCCTAATTCTTTCAAAGTTAGGAATGTAATGTAGGCTATTATCATCTTGCTGTCAATTAAAATGGAATTAAAGGTCATCAATGTTAGGATCACCCAGAGTTCTCGATGTGAAATTAAGAGCAATTCAGATGTACTTGATTGAGCCCTTTGTTAGGCACAACTGTCTACGTCTCGCTTTGTTATTTCCACAGGAGGCAATGTCATAAGCCATTATTTCTGACAAAGCACATGGAAAAATGAAGATTTAAAAACAGGAAAATGTGAAGCAACAGGGAAAACACAGTATAAAATAATGCTAGACTTTTGCAAATATAAATGATCTTCCAGTAGAATTTAGAATGCAGCGTCAAATTACTCAAAAATGTGGAATGAAACAAATTTTTGAAATAGCATTTTTTCATGTTTTGCTATCTATTAAAAGCATAGCAGTGAGGAATACAGATTTTTCAGGTCTCAGTTATTTGGGTTGGAATGTTGGCAGTGTCTATTGACGCATAAGATCCTCACCTTACCTAACTGTTGTGCAACAGCTTAATTCTCTATTATTATTTTTAAAAAGTTTATTCATTTCTTCCATTAGTAAGAGAGACAGAGACAGCATTCCCAACAAGGTCTTGACACCATTATCCACCTCAAACCTTGGCCGGCACTAGATCATGGTCACAGACATGAGCCCAGCGTGCACAGAGAGGTCAGAGCCCACAAACCCAAGACCTTCCCATGAGGGTCATCCTTGCAGATATTGGGTTTTAGCACTGAACCACCATCCAGCTCCTGTGTGAGTTTTAACCACCCCAGTGGGGCAGAGTACAGAGTGAACATCCTAGCAGTGCCAAACGTTCATTGCCCCTACAGTAAAAGAATTTTGAAAACTAGATTTGTGACAAGGTTGTTTCACATCCCTTAAGAAGACCAAATAATATCATTCCCTTGTTGGAATTTAAGATGGACATGAACTGTTGCATAGCCTGGCAGCTGGCATAGTAGTATTCTTGATATTCCATAATTACGTTTTCTCAGATTACTAATGCAGCATTAGTGCATGTAAATTGCATTAAGTAAATTAAATCATGTCATGTAAATTGATGATAGCTTTCTGTTTTCAGGTTTCCAAAGTAAATTTTCAGTAGAATTTTATTTCTCAATGTATTCTGGCTTCTGTAGAAGCCCATACAAATTTAGATTTTTATTAAAACTTACTTAAATCTCCCTCAGCTATACTGTATGCTGTGGAAAGTAGGACAACAACTACCTAAAGTGCTGCATGTCCTTAGCAGTTTTGTGTCCATGAAAGCTTCCAGGAAAGTGCTAGGTCACAGACAGTATTAATGACCTACCAGGATAACATAGATAAGTGGAGGACATCTCTGTTTACTCCATGTCTTAGACAGGCACGGGAAGTGGAATCGAAGAACGTCACAACTGTAGAGGTAGATCACAGATTGGTGCCCCAGCTCACTTGCTAATTATCTGTGCAGCATCAAGTCACAAACTCTAACTTGCAACTTTCTTTTTTTTTTTTTTAAGAGACATTTTTGCTCTAGGGTGAGTGTACTCATAGCAGAGACAGAGAGACACAGAGTGATAGAAAGTGAGAAATCACCCCCTCCCAGGGGGGATGACCACACCACAATCCCTTCTCCATTCTCTCTCAGGATTTTGGGTTCACATGCATATGCATGAGTTTCAAGCCATCGGGTCCTGGACTTGAACCACAGTCCACTATGTGGGAGTCCTAATCCTTTTGCCCTCTGCCCCAACAACTGGGTGGCCTTGTGTACTTCCAGTACATAGCCTCAGCTTCTCTGTTTTTAAAAGAAGGGGTGTATCTGGATGACTACTAAGATCCTAATACATTCTAAACTTTATACCATTGTATCTAATATGACTGACTATTTAACATTGACATTACTATATTATGTTTGTAAGTTTTTCTATTTAATAGCTGCCTATTTTCCAGAATTCCAGAAGTTCCCCTGTGGACAGAGAGATGAGTGTTTCATATTTTTTCCTTTCTACATCTCATCCAACAGATTCCTCAACATCTTTCAAGAGATAAAATTTCCAAACTGACTTCTCTAACCTGCCTTCAAGGAAGTGTGCTTAATAACTGCCTCATTGTGCTGTCTTCAATATTTACAGCTTTAGTTCTAGATTGAAAGCTCATTCAGGGTGGTATGGCCATAGACTAGACTGAAAACGTGATTGAAGATACTTAGTTTGATTTACAGAATATGCTTTGCTGGTGTCTGCTGACTAAACTCACCATTGCTGCTCATCCAGATCTGTCTGTTATTTTCTTTTATTTTTTTTGCATTCAATCACTGTATACTGAATGCCTGCACTCTATGGCAGAAACTGAAAGACTGGGAGGTATAAAGATGTGAAGAGTAACTGCAAACAGCTAGATAAATTTGTCAAAGGTAAATTCTTTCCCTTGGAATTTTACAAAGGACAGTGAAATTCATTATAATATGCTGTCACATCCAACTTTCCTTTCTTTCTTTCTCTCTTTCTTTCTTTGTTTTTTTTTTGTTTGTTTGTTTGTTTTGAGAGGTTTTTGCTATAGGGCGCAGGCACTAGCCAGAAAGACAGAAACAGAAAGTGAGAAATCATTCCCCAGGGAGGATGACCATGCAGCAATCCCTTCTCCTCCATTCTCCTCTCGGGATCTTAGGCACACATGCACACGTGCCTGGTGTGAATTTAAGCCACCAGGTCCAGGACTTGTACCATGGTCGACTACATGAGAGTCCAGCAACATACTCATTACGCCATCTGCTGGTCCTCCCTTCTTTCTTTTTGAAATGCTTAGGTCTGGAATGTTGGCCTATAAACAGGATATCTGTCTCCTCTGTTTCTCTGGTAAGTCACGTGCAAAGCCTAGAGATCACACCTGAAATGATTCCACAGGAGAGCTGAGGAATGTTCTAATTTAATAGTCATGAAGATGGATGAGTAAAGTAGCACTATGATTAAGACTGATTTATGCTTGAGAAGGGAGGATAGATTAGATCCCATTCTGAGACCATTTCCAGCTTCACATTTTGTATTTATCTTGTATAAAATTCATGTTGGTTTTAGATTTTTGCAAAGTCAATGTGAGTGCAAAAAGATATGGGTGACATTTATTTGAGTGGGGAGGACACTCGGAGAGTAGTTAGAAAAGCACGGGAGAGTCCTTTTGGCTCCCTGTGGTTTTGCCTGCACAGCTCACTGAATCCAGAATTCCTGCGGAGTCCATCAGAGACCCGCACAGCCTTTCTGCCCATTTGTATTCCTTCCACTGGTTCAGCTGGTAGATGAGTGAGATCACTTTCAGTCAGGCCACTCCACAGTCAGCAAACGTCTAAGCTGAAGCACCTCTGCCTGCTTTCCTTCCAAATGAGCTCAGCAGCAGCAGGGCAGAGCGTGAGAAGTGGAGAGAGTGTATTTAAAATAACTCTCAGGTAAACAAACAAATAGCTCTCAGGTGAAGAAAGGAACAACACAAAAATCTATCCTGATGAAAGGCTTTCTCTCTGGAGAAAGAAAGCAATATCACTAAGTATTAAATGAGGGCTATCACTATTCGCAGCATCTACTCCAGAAAATAAAAATATAGCTCAAGGCCACAAAAACTCTAAATATTATCCATTACTCATTTTGATCCCAAGGAATAGAGTGGGAAAAAAAAAAAAAAAGATTGTTTTCACACACTGTTAGATGCCACCTTCGACAAGTACCTTACTTGCCAAATCACTGAGAAAGAAAAAGAAAAGATAGATGAGATAGAGAGATGAGAGGTGGAGAACAGAAACAGGTTGAAAGCGGTTCATGGAGAGTGAAAATAAAAACATAGTGAGTTTACGTTGTGAAGGACGGATGTAAGGAAAGTACTGGATATACCCCTGAGCACCATGTGACGGGGTCCTACACTGTATCGTCCATTCTGCTTCGTTAAAAAGTTTGCCTGGAGGGCGAAAAAAGACTCCTTAGAAGTCATATTGTTGGATGAGACTAGCAGTTAGCCTAATGGCTATGTGGCTGGACTCCCATGCAGTTGACCGTGGTTTGCGTCCCGGACCCAGTGGTTTAAAACTCACGCCGGGCGCGTGTGTGTGCGTGCCCAAGATACTGAGAAGAGAATGGAGGAGAAGGGATTGCGGCGTGGCGATCCCCCCTAGGGGGTGATTTCTCGCTTTCTGTCTCTCTGTCTCTCTCTCTCATTCTGGTAAGCGCACGTGCCCTATGGCAAAAACCTCTTCAAAAAAAAAAAAAGTCATATTGTTGGTATTCCTATGGCTTGAGTATCCAGAGTGGAAGTTAAACACAACTTAATCTAACAGTTCCCTCCTGTCTGCTATGTGGCTTGGCACTGCCTGGTCCAGTGTGAATTACTTGCCTTTACAGTCACGGATTAGGATGCCCCAGGGATTTAATGCTCAGGATGGCCCCTCACAGTCTACGTGGCATTCTCATCCCGATCATGACAACAGGGGCACCACGGTCAGGGCTCTGTCAGCTCACGAGGGAACCTCCTTGTGTTAAAAGAAGACAACCCGCATCTCCCAAAGTGGAGCCCTTGTGATATAATCTATATGTCTTGCCTTGCCTGTTTTGTTTTGTTTTGTTTTGTTTTGTTTTGTTTTGTTTTGTTTTTAACCTAATGACATTGGTCTAGAAAGCCTAATCACTAAAATGGCCGGATTCTGTTTTTCTTTTTAACAATAGTAAAAATCATTAACTGAGAGAGTCTGCAAAAAAGGGTATACCAGATATCAAGATGTATTTAAATTTTTAAAAAGAATTTCCTTCAAACCTACACTCGTTCTTGACCTAAGTACATTTGTTGGCAACATTATACCTTATTAATAGTGTACAGTCTAGGAATGAAATAAATACTCTTTATAGACCAAC